GACTGATAAGTAAACAAACTAAATTCAATAAGTCATGCAGAAAGACACGTGCGAATGTTTTCCAGGTCATGTTTAAATAGATATGGGGAGAGGGATTGTGAGATAATCAAATTAAGATAAATTGCATTACGCTTCAATTACATCACTTAGATAAACAATTAGTCATTAGAGAATATAACAAGAATTACAAACAGGCTAATACCAATAGTAATAGTTATAATAACAATAATAATTGTATTGAAGTGAGTTAAGCTAATCTTACTGATAAAGCATAGTTTTAAATGAATCAATAATAATAATAATAATAATGATAATAATGATGAGGTAGAATATTAGTAATAATAAGTAAAACGTATTACCATGGTAGATTCAGAGTCACGACCATCTCCTTTTGTACATAGAGACCTGGTTTATAAACTCGAATTACACAAGCCTCTGCGATTGCAAGCATCTTCTTATTTCTCTTTCTGCTAACAATAGTGAATGACTTGACAGAGTCAATATCATGTCTGTAGTCTACAAGATGTTTTGTTGTTATTGAGGTTTTTGGCACTTTGCACTCAGCTGTTTTCAACCATGTTGGAGCATCTATTTGAACATGACCTGGAAAACATTCGCACGTGTCTTTCTGCATGACTAATTCAATGTAGTTTATTTACTTATCAGTCTTATTTCTCCCAATGTAATTTCAAAAGTATATTTATATCCGTGTATGTAGAGTATTCAGTTGAGAAGGGGGTCTACTGAAATTTGACGAATTCCTTAAATCCTGCTTTATTTACATTTATTGCTTGTTTTAAGAACAGCAAGAAAAGCAAACAAAGACATCAGCACCAAGAAAATTGGACCACCCTCAGTCGAAAGCATTTGATAGGGGACGAGTGTGGTGGTGTAATACAGACAATGTGTTCCAACTGAACATTATTCTCATATATTCCCACAGTTCATTACTGCGTTAGCAACAGAATACCATATATATATATATACATAAAGCTTTTTGATCACTTGAAAATATACCAAGGTTTCCGTGTCTTGCCTTCTGATGTTACAATAGTATAATAATAATAATATGGAATTACATAATGCTACAATGTCCAAGTTCTACCCGCACACACACACACACATACATGTTCATCTTATTTCCCCTTCTCCTTCTACCACTACAAAAAGGAGGCAGTTGCCGAGGTAGTTGCAAAGTTGAATGAAGAACACGAAAAAGCCCGTTATGGATTTTTAGATATCAATGAGTCAATTGAAAATTCCCTTGCTTGTCTTGAAAATTTGGATTGGGAAAAAAATCATGCTGAGAAACGTAAACAAGTACTTGATAATTATTGGGAAAATGTACAAAACTTGCATGCTATTAAAGAGAAGGAAAGAAAAGTGAGTTATAAAGCCTTTTTGTACACTATTTATTCTACCTAGTTATATCGTTTGTTGAATAGCTTAACTGACAAGTGAATGGAATGTCTGTCTGGATTCAACATAGAACTTGGCACCAAAGTGAAACAGTTCGAGTTGCCACGTTTCAAATAGCACACAGAGGTAGACAAGAAGATGAGTGAAGAGAATCAATAGAGTTTGACAAGTATAAGAGTGAAACACAATGGGTAATGGTAGAAAGGAATATGAATGATTACAGAGACTGAATACATCTTCGCTGGCCATTGACAACGATTTTGAGCCATGTCACCTATTGTCTCCAGCCATTGATTCCTAGAGTCAGTCCCAAGGGCCCCAACCCGGGAGTCTGCATCTCCCTACCTGACCGACTCAGTTTAGCTGTCAAGGATTTCATGGATTGATGCCATGTTTTTGTTTGGCCACTACTTACTCTTTTCCAACCTGCACCTATATCAGCTAGTAATGCCCGTCGGGGGAGGCGGTGATTAGGCATGCGCACGCAGCACGTGACCTAGCCATCTTAGTCTATGTAACTTTATAGCCTCGTCGATTGATTTTCCCTCTTTGCCCAACACTCTACGCCTAACGTCAACATTACTTGCCTTATTAAACCACCTAACGTGAGACAGAGATCGCAGACATCTATGATCGAAAGCAGTCAACCTTTCCATGTCTTCAACGCGTATTGGCCATGTTTCAGAGACATAGAGAAGGATGGAGCGAACTACTGATCAGTACACACGTCCCTTGGTTGATAACCGGATGTCACGCCTACGCCAGAGACGGTGTATGTCAGAGAAAGCAGCTCGAGCTTTGTGCATCCGTGCTGATATTTCGTCACCAATCAGTCCGTTGGTGCTAATACAACTTCCCAAATAGGTGAAGTGGTCAACATGTTCTATCACTTCACTCCCTATCACTAAGTTAGGAGTTGACGTAGTCCAGTCCTGTAGCAGCATCTTACATTTTGTAGGGGCGAATCGCATGCCAAACATACGAAGATTGCTCGCTAATCAGGGTGTTCAGAAGACTCTGCTTTATTTTGTCAGCATCCTCCCCTAAGATGACTATATCATCTGCATATTCTGAGTCCATAAGACTATTCCCTGGTAAGAAGTCGATTCCCAAGTCGTTTCGTTCAGTTAAGGATACTTCCATTAGCATATCTATGATGAAGTTAAACAGAAATGGGAAAAGTGGATATCCCTGTAGGACACCACTGTTTGTTATCAATTCAGATGACAATTCGCCATAGATATTGGCTGTTCAACTAAAACCAGAACTTTACTGAAAAGGCGAAGCAGCAGAATTCAGTAACTTGAGGGGAGTAATGTTCAAAAGATTATTTTATTGTTATTACTCCATTGGGTTCCTAGTGGAGCATAGGGGTTTCAAAGTACATCTTTATTTTGTCCTTTTTTTGCGGACCTCTTCAGCTGACCTTAGGATTATCCATAGTCTTTCATCTCCTTCTTGAACGATTTTTTTCATGCTACCAACAAATTGGCTGAAGAGGTAGCGAAAATAGGACTGCTGATGAACACGGAGAAAACGAAAATGATGGAGATAACCAATCAACAGCAACAGTAACGACGGCCAGCACCATCAGACGGAGAGATTTTACACAGATTACTTCATTCACTTATCCAGGAAGCATAGTTTCAATTACAGGAGGAACTAATGAACTAATGTCAAAGCCAGTCAGAATCAGAAAGGTAATGCACACCTTCATCACTCTGAGGACGGTTTGAAAAATCTGTACTCAGCCAGCATAAGGAACAAGATTCGCATTTTCAACACCAATGTGAAGTTGTTCCTTCTTTACGGGTCAGGAACATGGTTGTCTTGTGACGAAAAGAATCTCCAACAAGTTGCAGATTAACATCAACAGCTACGACCTTCATACTGAATATCAAATGGCCAGAAAGGAGAAGTGCAAGAGCTCAATAAATATGCAGGAAAAAATGGTGATGGATTGATCAGGTAGACATTCAGGAAACCTTCGAATGACATCGTGGGAAGTACAGGCCAGTGCTCGAGTAAAATTCGAATGGGCAGCGACGAGTTGGTCGTCAGGGCGAGGGTGACGTGGGGAAGATCGTGTGAGGAAAAGACGAGAGATTACAGGCAAACGTTGACGCAGCTGAAGAGGATGGCAGAAAATAGAAGAAAGTGGCGGTGTGTTGTTGAAGCCGTATGTTCCCCTCGGAACGCAAGGGAATAATAATAATACCTGCGCACGCGGGTAAAGAGGAAGGGGCTAGCGACCCTACACCACTAAACCTATCAAACCGCTACAGAAACTCCAACACACAGAAAATAGATTAAAAATACGAAAAATTCATAGAACAATCTCACTCCTCTCTGGGACCGGAGAGGCAAAATGACATAGCGGGATTCGGGGAGCCAGTTAAATGATGTATCTTCTCCCGATGAAAGCAAGAATAAGAATGGGGACATAAAATGTCCATAGAATGTACATGCTGTGAAGTCTGCCCAGGTAGCCAATGAAATGCGAAAATATGGCATAGAAGTACCGGATATCTGCGAAAGCAGGTGGAATGGGTGTGAATTATCCAAATTGTCAGTAGTTTACTCCGGTTTTATCACCCAATGATAACCAAGAAAACACTGAAGGGGTGGCCATAATGATGTCGCTAGCTCCGCCAAAGTTCTATTGCATTGGGAACCAGTATCATCCGGGATCATGACAGCAAGATTTAACTCAAAAGGAAGGAAGGTTATAATTATTCAATGCTACGCACAGTGCTACAGACAATGTTGAACAAGACAAGAAGGAAGAGTTTTACAGACAACTGCAACCAGTAATGGACATCATCCAAAATGGTCACATCAGAATCCTCATGGGCAGTATGAATGCCAGCTGAACTGGGAGCAGATAATACAGAAAGAGAACTCATCATGGGTCTAGAGGCTTTGGCTCGGCGAAATGAATGAGGATGGAGAAATATTCACAGACTTCTAAGATACACTGCACCAGTTTGCAACAGAGAAGTACTTAACGGCGCTCAATAACTAAAAGCAGCATTCATCTTTGTTGTTTGGGAGTTGTTTTGGCGGTGTTTAACTTCAAGCAGAGTGATGGAAGTGTTGAATGTGCTTGTCAGAGAGTGGTAATGTAACTCATACATTCATATAAGTACCTACAAAGAGCGATTGTCTTAATTAGCAATACGAGGTGGTCAGAATGGTGGATATGATTTTAAGACACGATTTAAAAACAAAGAAATAAATATTTTCGGTAATTTTTCGTCAGGCTTTATTTACATCCACACAATAAAAGTTTACTCGTAGATATTTGAAACCAATATGAGTATGAGAATTAAAGATTGAATGGGAACATCTTTTTATGACAACTACATCAGCTGTGCTTGGCAATCAAGGGAGTACAAAGCTAGGGAACTGGGACAGCACCTTGAATATAATTTTTTATTACCCTCTGTAATGAGAATGCTAGATGCAATATTGTACTGCAGGCTGGAAATTTCATATTTGTGCCAAAACTACTTACTGTTTGGAATAAAGCTATAATTATTACTGTCATTATTAATAATCGACACATTTGTCACTTTTAGGAAGAAATAGAGAGGGAACGTGAACTAGAAAGACAAATCCTGGAAAAAGCTCAACGTGAAAAAGCTGAATTAGAGGCTAAAAAACTTGCTGAAAAGAAAAGGTTATGTGAAGAAATGAAGGTTTGTTCATAATTTCTTTTGTTGTTAAAGTAAATTCCTTTAAACTATGCTCAACTTTCATAAACCTTTGATACCTTTGATAGATTTCGATGAACGTAGAAAGAAAGACCACATTTGCAGTATAAAATGATATCATCATTCTGTTTCACGAGCCCTCATCATCTGTTGCAAACTACCTGAAATTACGATGGTTTTAAATAATGACAATAAAATACTTCAACGTTTGAAAGATAATAGAGAGAACATTCTAAAATAAACGCATCTGAAATTTAAGTATTACAGTTTTTATTTGGAGGCGAATACCAACAAACTGGCTGAAGAAGCAGGCGACGAAGACAGGACTGCAGGTGAACGTAAAGAAGACGGCGATGATGAAGATAATCAATCAAAATCAACAGCCACAAAAACCAGCGCCAATCACCATCGAAGGGAGAGATTTTACACAGGTTACCTCCGTCACTTATTCAGGAAGCACGGTCTGAATTGCAGGTGGACAACATGGGTGGAGATGCCAGAGCCAGCCAGAATCGGAAAGGCAAGATGCGCCTTCGTTAACCTGGAACCAGTTTGGAGATCTTCTGCACTCAGCCAGCATAAGGAACAAGATTTGGATATTCAACGCAAATGTGAAGTCAATCAGTTCTTCGATACTGGTCAGAAATTTGCACTACTCATCACGAAGAGGATTTCCAACAAGTTATAGACTAACATCAACAGCTACCACCTTCGCTGGCTGGCTCCATACTGAAGACCAGACGGCCAGTCGGCGGTTCAGAAGGAATTAACAACAAGAAGACCACACTAGCTGGGAACAAACCAACAAGCTAGAGTCGACTGCTCCAAAAATATGTAGTAGAAAATGAAGATGGATTGATCGGGCATATGTTGAAAAGACCGTCGAGTCACATCGTAGGCAGTGCGGGCCAGTGCTCGAGTGGAATCTAAATGGAGAGCGACAAGTTGGTCGTGAGTATTAGGATGGCATGGAGGAGATCGTTTGAGGAAGAGATGAGAAACTCTCGGGCAATCCTGGAGCCAGCCAGATGAAGGGGGCAGCAGAAAATAGAACGAAGAGGAGATGTGTCGTTGAAATCCTAGGGAATAATATTCATCTTATGGATGTCTTTCAAAAAATGGATTTCCAAGAGATTTCATCAAAAGATATATACCCCGAATCTAAGCAAACAAATTAAAGGCTCCCAATGAAAATACGAAGAAAATTGTACTACCACATATGAAGAAAATCTCCTAAATCGCTACAAGACTCTTGTGACCTTTTGGAAATGATGCCTCCCACACATAAAAAAAATCACTTCACTCAGCTCTCTGGCAACCCAAAACCTCAACAGTGAAAGAAGATAAAAGCCGGTATCATCTACAAGATAAGTTGCAAGGACTATGAACAACATGACATTTAACAAAGTGGACATCCTCTTCATCTTCGCAGCAGCGAAAAGACAGGAGATCCACTCCCTCATATTGATGGATAAAGAAAACCATGAACACCAATTTGATTAGGATAATGTTTTAATCTAAGACGAAGGAAACATCAAAAACGCCAGGGGGATTTTCACAAACCAGGTATTTAAATGAATCGACAATGAAATAGACAAGATTTACCAATCCATTAGAGGAAAACCATATGAACAAAAGATCAACTTTCAGGTCAAGGAAACGATTCGTATTAGTAGAAGTGGAGTAGATGGTGGGGAAGTGCACAAAGTAACCAGCCACGTTCAAGTTCACCAGGAAAGATGACTTGTAAACTGGTGGAGAGTTTTAAAAGCTCACAATTCAAAATGAAGTATACGCTGAAGATGTTGCCTAGTAATACAATGACAGCTTTGAAACTACGAACCAACTAGTTCACAGAACACAAGTACACCAAAAAGCATCCGCAATTACGTAATTCTTCAGCTCTGCCCGTTACCATCAAACTTGTTTCTTCCAATTTTTGCAGATTGCATCTCATTAACTTCTGAAAAAGTTTATCCCACATAGTTCAAGATATAGTTCTGAAATACAGGATGAAATACTTTGAATCCAGTAAGACAGAATCTATCCATCTACATTTTAAGATTTTCCCCACTTTTACGACAGATGTATGCAATTCAACCGAAAAGAAGAACTTAATATAAATGTTAAATTACTCAACTTAATTTGCGTCTCTTAGTGATTGAATACTCCGGACCGAAATTCTCGTTTTCTGCTGGCACATTGGTTACTGATAGAGATGCTCCAGTGATGTCTAAAGACTGACATCAAGTTATTTTAGTTGATGGCGGTTATCAGCGGAATCCACAACTCGTGCCTCTTCTCCTGTTTGAGACTCGTTACCTGGATGTACCTGAATCTCTAGTGGCTGATGGTGTTCCAATTAATCATTGAACCCTGCACTCCAAACTATGTTATGGTCCAGTGGATACTGCCTCGAAGCCTTAAATGATGAATGTCTGGTCCAGATTATAGTGGGAACACCATCAGCCACTAGGGATGCAGATACATCCAGTTAACGGATCTCAAATACGAAGAAATGTGCTAATCCTGGATTCCACTGCTAGTGACCAACAATAATTACAATGAATGAGATTTTAAGTTAACTAGTGCAAACAACATCATAAAAAAGTGATGCGTATCGCTTCTTTTGTCAGAACTACTGTTTTTCTAGTGTGTGCACTTTTTGAGCGTTCTAATTTAATTAAAAAGTGTCTGAAGGAAATGACAGTTTTCCCGATTTCGTTTGGTACTACTCTCAAATCTTCTAAGTAGTTAAAGTTTCAAGACACAATTTAATGAATAAATATCCAATGTGTGACTATGTGGAGCAGTTGAATCGTGCTGTTCAGAATGACCCAAGGTAGATTAAGGGTTCAAGCCCTAGACACATCTAACTCATGAGTTATAGCTAAGATGAAATATATGTCCTGAGTTTTAGGGGCATTCATCATCGATCGACAGACAAAATGTTAACCAAGGTGGATTGTCGAAGCGTCCACACAAAGAGTCAAAGTGCCAACAGAGTCTGAAAATTTCAGCCTACTGAAACTAATTAACAGGAAACATTGATTAACAATAATCCCCCAAAATAGGAAGACTATTTTTTATTCATGGTATTCTAGGTGGAATATGCGGCTTCGAGTTTTTCAAGTTCCAATATTATTATTGTTGTTCCCAATGAGATCCGAGTGGAATATAAGGCTTCAATAACACATCGTCACTTTGACCTCTTCTCTTCACTGCTCTTCACCTGGCCCCAAGATTTCCCATAGTATCTCATCTTCCACTCACAGGATCTCTTCTGTGTCCCCCTCTGACTGATGATCAACTTGTTGTTCCTCATTCGGGTTTCCCTCGAGAGATGGCATTGCGCGTGATTTCATTCAAATATCTATTCAGAGCGTCTCCTATCCATCTCTTGACTGGTCCGTTACCACAGTTTCTTACTATTAATTCCATCCCGCCATTTGATCGTTACTATGAAAGCGGGGAAAGAAGCTATTGATACAAGTCTGCAAAATTTTGGAAATGCTTTTCGTGACAAGCCCGCCAAGTTTCTAACCTACATAGAGTCAGCAACTGACTTAACATTTCTAGTGAAAATCCTAATTTTGTTCCAATGGCGGTGGTCTGTCTCTGTCTGGTCTGTCTGGATTCAACGTAGAACTTGGCACCGAAGTGCAGCAGTTCAACTTGCCACGTTCCAAATAGCACACAGAGGTAGACAAGAAGATGAGTGAAGAGAATCAACAGAGTTTGACAAGTATAAGAGTGAAACAGAATGGCTAATGGTAGAAAGGAATATGAATGATTACAGAGACTGAATACATCTGCGCTGGCCATTGACAACGATTTTGAGCCATGTCACCTATTGTCTCCAGCCATTGATTCCTAGAGTCAGTCCCGAGGGTCCCAACCTGGAACTTTGCATCTCCATACCTGACCGACTCAGTTTAACTGTCAAGGATTTCATGGATTGATGAGGCCATGTTTTTGTCTGGCCACCACTGGCTCTTTTCCAACCTGCACCCACATCAGTGGTGGTGGTGCTCTTTTCCGGGTGGAATTGCTAGCTTCAAATTCAACCCTAATTATTATCCATACTTCCTCTCACCTACTAACCTTGGAGAGGTTTAAGAGTGTGACAGCTGAGAATCGAATCCCAACCGACAGTGTGGTTGGAGAGCATTTCATCATTGAGCCACCGACACATTACAAATAAGAAAGAAAATAAACTATTTCATATCTTAAGTGTTGCTTTCATATGATGAGCAACCTACAGTTTTTACTAAATATGAGGTAAATAAAATACTGTCATCATGCATGAATTCGTTTAGATCCTCGATCTACTTATTTGTCATCATGCTATAATTAGAAGGAGTAATAACATTCTTTTGTGAACTTCATACATATAAAACTATCGTTCATTTGAGGATCATTTTTTAATAATGCGTGATATGTTTAATCAAGTTGTCATTCCCAGCCTTTTTAATTGGTTGGTTGTATATTTTAACCCAAGTTATTATTTCCCTGCCATTATGGCGAAAATTTATTTTGATAAAGTCACACAGTGTAATACGGTGATATTTACTGATGGTAACGTTTCGAGCACAGTTATTACTGTTACCCTCTTACTAACATTTTTAATGCTTCCTTTTCCCGTCAAATTCTACCTTTAGCATGAAAAAGCATCAAAATTATCCCCATACCCGAACCATCTCCTGGTACTGATATTAAATTTAGGCCTATTGCAATTACTTCTCCTTTTTTAAAATTGATGGAAAAATTACGTTTACTTCGTCTTGAACCTTCATTGAAACCTTCTAATGATCCTTAACAATTTGCTTACAAGCATGGCAGGAGTATCTTGGGTGCTGCGGTTGTCTTATATCACAATGTTGTTTCTTGTTTAGAAAAAGGTGCCAAATATGTTCGTAGTTCTTTCCTAGACTACACATCTGCTTTCGACTCTGTACCTAGGGGCCTTTTATTAAATAAGCTAT